GAACGGGAGCTTCGTGCCCTGGATGTGCATCCCACAAATTTCCATCAACTGCAAGATGCTATCCTATCAATATGGGCCAACATTTCTAAAGAATGCTTTCAGCACCTTGTTGAATCAATGCCACGTAGACTTAAGGCAGTTCTGAAGGCGAAAGGCGGTCAAACACCATATTAGTATGGTGTTCCTAATAATCCTTTAGGTGAGTGTATATCGTTCATCCATTCCTACCTGGCTTCTGATGAGTTACACCTGTTATCAGGTAAATATCAGGAACAGGTGTGACTCATCAGAATCCAAGTGGGACAGAAAACCTACTGGATAAGTAGCTCTCCAGGACTGGAGTTGGAGACCCCTGATCTATACATTCTGATGAAATTAAATAAATAGTATTTTTACCCCTTTTTAAATTTAAATTATTACTCAAAATAATTGAATCCTGTTTGGCTCATACATTACCTGGCCCCTAATTGGTTAGGCAGGAAGACTAAACAATTACAAAAAACGTTATGAACCAAACTACTTATGATGTTCATAATTTCTGACCTTCACTCTTCCGATGTTGATTCTTCCAGCAGGCACAGTTTATTCACAGGTCTTTCCAGTGTACTGATCCTGGTCTTTATTTTCACTCTTCTCACTGTTCCACTGGAATCTGGCAATGTTTCAATTACTTTCCCCATGACCCAGGAGTTGCGTGGGGAAGAACTGCCCACTAGTAGTACAACATCTCCAATCATGAAGTTTCTTCTAGGTTTCAACCATTTCTGGCGCTCCTGAAGATATTCGCGTGTCCATCTGGTCCAGAATAAATCCGCATGATATTGGACCTGTTTCCATTTTCTTCTTGCGTATGTGTCATCTTTGTTGAAGATTCCTGAAGGCATGATGGTCTGATACTTCAGCAGCAATACGTGATTAGGTGTTAAAGGTTCAATGTCGTTCACATCATCTGAGACATTTATGAGTGGCCTGCCATTGATGATGCTTTCGATCTCGCACATTATTGTCTGAAGACAATCATCATTCACCGTTTGCTCTTTCAATAGAGAACTAAGGATTCTTCGCACTGTCCGAATTTGTCTTTCCCAAACCTCACCTTGGTGGGAAGCGGCTGGGCTGTTGAATATCCCTTTTATTCCCTTTGGTTGCAAGGCTCTTTCAATCTTGTCATTATCCAGCTGTTGGATAGCTTCCCTTAACTCTCTTTCAGTCGGCACAAAATTTTTGCCATTATCTGACCTCATGATGGTGACTTGACCTCTCCTGCATATAAAACGCGGAATTGCATTAATGGAGGAGTCCATGTCGAGGCTGTCCACTACTTCAATGTGCACAGCTCTAAGAGTGAGGTAAATGAACATCACCCCGTATCTTTTAACTGTACCCCGGCCTCGCTTGACCTCAAACAGCCCAAAGTAATCAACGCCAGTGTTTGTGAAAGGAGGTTTGTCTGGCAAGAGGCGATCTTCAGGTAAGTCTGCCATTCTTTGCTCACCAACCTTTCCATTAATCCTACAGCACACTGTACATTTATTGATTATTTTTCGAATTGCAGAATTAGCTTGTGGAATCCAGTACCTGCATCTCAGTTGTGCCAAGACATAACTGCGTCCACAATGGCAGGTTCTTTGATATATGTCTCTCAAGATCAGTGTGGCAACTTTACTATGCTTAGAAAGAATTACTGAATGTTTAACATTTTCTGGCATGGCAGATTTGCTAAGTCTTCCGCCTACTTTCAAAGTGCTATCTAGAAGAACAGAATCCAGATTGAACAACTGAATGATGCGATTAAGCTGTCTGCCTTCCTGCAGAACCTTGATTTCTTCTCCAAAATGTCTTTGACTGAACTGGATTATTTCATATTCTGCAGCATCCAGATCATCCAAGGACTCGGGGTTACTGCAGGGTTGGTTGGAATGCCCTTCCCCACATTGAATTTCATGCACACTATATACCTCTCGCAGAATTGGGCAGCAGCTGCGGCAAACCCAGGGGCATGCCACACCCGAGTCACAGCTGCCACCATTCCATCACGAGACACATGATCCAGGCCAAGAACGGCTTTGGCCACCCCTGGATACGCGGATCTAAGAAGATAAGGTCGGTTAGTCTCGGAATGTCACCACACGCCATCCCCATCACACCGTACTCCGCTCCGTTTCCATCCGCGGA